CTCCATATAAGTAATGTCTCTAAATCTTTAGAGCAAATATAATTATTGCCAATTCCAAATCATGTGTTAAATAATTTTTCTCATGCTACTTCAACTATTTAGAAGCATAGGTAATTATTATTATATTCTATTGCAACAATACACATCTTAAGCCTTTCTAAGAAGTGTTGATATATACTTTAAATCCTTCAATACCTGACGAAATATTCAGCATAGGAGCTAACACCAAACACTCCTTCAACTTATTAAAAAATTTCTTCACATTCTAGTGTCCATTCAAACGATACAACCTTTTGAGTCAATCTTATCAGAGCGATCAAAATCTAGAGATACATCCTTTCCGACTCTATTCGTAGATGGCGATAATCATTATTTACATTAAGCGAAAGGGAGAGGAGATCACCTTGGGCATGTTGTATGATTATTCATTTGTGTGTTGCACTAATTGACACACACTCTTCTATTCCCAGATATACAAGCATTCTTAAACTCCATGAGTTGTGGTGGAGTTTTATGGATGAATAGAGGATGATGATATCAATGTTGGACTTAAGCATAAAAAAATAGCAATAGTAGAGCATAATGAGTGTTTGATGGAGGTAACATGAAAGCATATATTCCTTATCATATGAATCTGCCAGCAACAGATGAGCAACACAAATATGGTTGCCTGAGCATGGCACTCGAATCAAAACAAATTTTGAGAAATACAGAGCAACTCACTTTCAACACATGTTCACATGCATCAGGAGCACATATGAGAGGCCGCTTTAAATTAGAGAGGGAGTATGGGTTGAGCTTAGTAGTGTTTGGGGTAGATGAGGGAGCAAAACATACAGAATGAAGCTTCTAATGTCTAGGGCCCAAGAAGCTACCTCCATACTAGGGGCTGAGTTCCACAAATTGAGTGCAGATGATGATTCGTAAGAATTTTAATATATTTTAATATTTTTTTATTATGCATGCTAATCTAAGTATATCGCATAAGGAGATGCTTAGTAGACAACCACTGTAATTGAGTTACATAGTCACACTCATAAGTTTTAGGAGGACCATCAATGGATAGATGAGCGAGCAAGGAGGATATATATAAGTATTTAAGAATATTATACTAACAGAAATATTATAAATTATGATTATACAATGATTAATCTTATGTTATATTTTGTAAGATGAGTATATATAATTTTGAGAGAGATAGACTGCAACTGAGAGGGATCCTCTGGGGGTTTCCAAGATATTTCTGACTACTGCACTTAGCCGTAGGCGATAGGCGGAATGCAGAAGGGACGAGTTTATAGATTAGGTTCGCAGGCCTGCCCGTATAAGAGCAGTCATCTTCTGCCTCCATCTAATGTGCAAACAGCCTGAAGATTTTGTATAGCCAACATGTGGCTAATTTTACAACAAAGCTAGAAAATGATAGAAAATCACAATGGGACATTAACATTCAAATACTAGATGAGATTTGGAGATTGAGAGAGTAGATAGACGGAAATCAGCCTGTGTTTGCATCGGCCGAGCGGAGGGTGAGGATACAAATTCTGGTTTGATTATCCGTGTAGGGTTTTTTGATGCATTTTATTTTTTTGCGTATAAGAACTATTGATACTTTAATAGTAATGTAATTGTGAAATTCTGTGTAATGTGATTGTCTATTTGAGAAATTTGAATGTGATTGTATAAAAGTGTGTTCCTTATATTTATTTAGCATTATTTATTGAAATGTTAGCATTATTAACTACTGCTTGGATTGTTATTATTTAAAATCTTAATAAGTGATTGTAGAAGCTATGTTTTTATTTATGCTACATATTTTCATGGATTTGTGGCAAAAATTTTGTCGCAAACATCAAAACGATAAATGGGTATCGTATTTTGTGACAGAAACACCGGTCACAAATAGCGATAAATTCACGGTGGAATATCTGCCACAATTTTCGATGGCATTTCCGTCATAATTTGCGGCAGTTTTTCTTTCACAACTCCGGCCGTCGTAATATGTGAAGCCATTTGCGGTGTTTAATAAAATTGAAGCCGTTGTTTTTTTAGTATAATTCCTTCATAAACTCTCCATAAATCTGCTGCAAAATATTTGGAATAGATTGACTCTATTGCAAATAGTTTTGCGACGCCACTTTTATAGTCAGAATTGAATTCTCCTCAATCTGTCGTAAATCTAAATTTGCAACATATTTGACTTGTTTTGTGAATGATATTTCTACCGAAAAAACTTGATTTTCTTGTAGTGTCGATGGGTGTTGCTCAACCTATGTTGCCCAACCACCATCTCCCAGCTAATAAGCTTTATTTCAAACTCCTAACCATATTATTAGATCGTCTTCACTCAACCACTATATACTGATCATTATTGGTCGAACACTGCAACTCAATTGACCCTGCTCAGTCATGATCACCTAAGCACCGTTGCTCATCATTGCCCAACCACTAACACCCATATCCTGACTATCATAAATAAATCTCCTAATCTTGCCCTACCACTGGCATTACTCTTCATGATATCTCCAATATTCTCTAACACGTTCACAAGAGATTAAGATAGCAATCAAATTAAACTTTGTAATGTCATATTCTCCCAATTGAAGGAAAGAAATAGCTTTTCTAATATATTTTCATAGTAGGTTATTTCAATAGGCCAAGCCTCATGATTTTTTTTTCTGAGTTTTCCTGATAAGAACTTAGATCTCTCTAAATTCTTAGATTTGAGTGTGCAAAATTTCATATAAAACTAATATCATAGTCTCTCTCTCTCTCTCTCTCTCTCTCTCTCTCTCTCTCTCTCTCTCTCTCCATGAATGTTCTAATATCAAACAAAGACTTTGCATAAATCTGACAATATTCGAGGTGGGTTAAACCCCTTCAGATAGCAGGAAGTAAGCTAGAATTAGTGGACCAAACTTAATTGCATTGCAAAAATGGGTGCAAGTTCCTTTATGAATTATGCTTCCACACCGCCCTTCTAAATCATTACTAAGGTTTCATTTGGGATGGTTTTCTTATTACTTCTTAAAGCGACTTTCTAGTATAAAATTATTAAATTTTTATAAAAAAAACAGCTTTAAGAATCAATAAGAAAGCCGTCCCAAACGAAGCCTTTGTTATATGAAATGATTAAGGATGAAGTCGAACATTTGCAAACCCTTAGACCCAATTTTGAATGAACTTTTGTTTTGTTTTCTTAATTTTCTTCTTGCTTTTAAGCAAAATATTTTGTTTTTGAGAAAACTTGAACATGCTTTTTGGTACTTTTAAAGTAGCTTTTTTGCTCCTGCTAAAGTTTTGTTTGGGACGAAATTTTTATTACTTCTTAAAACAGAGTTTTAGTAAAGCTTCATTTGGGACATTTTTTTTTTTTGCTTCTTAAAAAAAGCCTAAGAGTGTATTTGGTGGAAACAAAATTTTTTAAAGTTGATTTTATAGCTGTTGTTGTAAAAGCTATTATGGATAAAGAAGTTGATTAAGAACTATCTTACAATTACTTTATCCCAACATATTTGTTTGTATAATGCAATTTTGTGATTACAGAATTTTTTGAAAAATAGTATGAAAGCTGAAAAACAATATGAAAGCAGAATATATATAAAAGTGTGGCAGCCTTGTGCAAAGCAAAGTAATTCAAAAGCTATCCAAACAAGCCTAGCTTTCTTACTGTTTTGTAAACATTTTTTTTTTAAATTTTAGAACAAGATTTTTTTTTACTAAAAACTACTATAGAAAACAGTAAGAAAGCTATCCAATCGAAATCATAGATTCAAAAAAATCACCAGAGATCCATGTTACAGATCATTGTTGTTGTTCTCGCCATGATCAGTGTTGAGACTTAGAAGTAGATGGTTGGAGATGACAAATTTCTCTTTATCTTACCGAACTCGAGTGCAACATGACGAAAGGCCCAACGAAAATACAATTATATAAAATCAAGTTCATTTTATGTTTTAAAATACTTAACATCAGACATCAAATCTATTTTTATTTCACATCAAAACATTAAAAAAAAAAAAATCAGAGTGATCTCAAAGCATCACTCAGATTATAACTATTCTGGAATTGCTTCTCAATTCTTTGCTTAAACCTGTAATATTTGATCTTGTTTGGATAAATTCTTTTCTTGTATTTCCTTCTGTCTTTCATCAAAAACTAAAGCAAGGATGGCTTATAGAGATTACAATAAATGATAAATCTTCAGATTAAAAAAAAAAATTCATGCAATCATCATTTCAAATCGATTGTAATCCATAGAGCCCAAACTAAGATGTCTTTCATTTCTTTAGCTGAAGAGTGATGCTAATTAACCACCTTCAAATGGACACAATCTCTGGGATTAATGGAGCTAATCTTGATTTTTCAACATAATAATATCTACTGAGTATTGATTGACTTAGCTCCTCCTTCCAACAACCGAAAAAAAAAAAAATATTGTTTTGCATAATTCACCATTCAAGACAAAACCCTTTTACATAACATCACCAGCTGTATTTTCTCTGCATATTCAAATCAAATCTCGCTAAATCCAGTAATTGGTTTAACAAATTTACATTATCAATAAATGATCAATGCTCACGAGCGGTGATGAGGTCCCAACTAGAGAAGCCTCCAACATGAAAGGCCAAGCACACATAAGAAGGACCAATCTTTTTGTTATATTCAATGGCTTCACATTGCTGTTAGCTTTCATTCCAGTGCATAAATTCGTGCATGGCAACTTTTGTTCTGTTTTATACTTTTTCTGAGTTCCAACCAGGGGAAAAAAATTTGACTTTGTATTCAGAGAACTACTCAGCTTTTGTCTTTTGTGTGAGCTTTGTACTCACAAGTTATTTTAGAGAAAGTTATTCAAAGCTTTTGGTATCACCATTAAGCCAGCATGTTCAGCATCTCCCTGACAGAAAAACTATTTATAAGAAGAACTCAGTTTTCTCTTCCATATCCTCATAAAGTTCATTCTTTTCTGACTTTTTTCTCTTCAATAGAAGTTGGAGATGGAAGGAGATGGGATGCTAGGCTCTCACTTTCCTCCTGGGTTTCGCTTCCATCCAACAGACCAGGAGCTCATCAACCAGTATCTGAGGAGGAAGGTCTCAGCTTCTTTACCTCCTCAATGGAGGATTATAGCTGATATCGATCTCTACAAATACAATCCTTGGGAGCTCCCTGGTGATTATTTCTTCTTCTTACTTTCTTTTCTTCATGACAAGTTAAATACTTAGTCAAAAATTTGAAATTTTTGTTATTTTCATTTCAGAGAAGGCTGTTTTCGGCAAGGGAGAGTGGTTCTTCTTTAGTCCTCGGGATCGCAAGTATCCTAATGGAGTTCGGCCAAATCGGGCAACTTCAGCAGGTTATTGGAAAGCGACTGGTACTGACAAGCCTATAATGTCTGTTGGTGGTGTTCAGTGCATCGGTGTTAAGAAGGCCTTAGTGTTCTACAAGGGAAAGCCACCCAAGGGTATAAAGACTGATTGGGTCATGCAAGAGTACCGCCTCATAGACTCCACTGCCTCTTCTCAGACCCAAAGGCAATTAGGCTCCATGCGAGTAAGCTCCCTTTTCATATTTATATGTGTATCAATTACTTATTAAAGTAACTTTTTAGTATAAAAAATTGTTTTAAGAAGCAATAAAAAATCTCTTCCAAACCAAGTCTAAAACTATCACTAAATATAGCGAGACCACTTGCAGTTGGATGATTGGGTTCTCTGCCGAGTTCGACAGAAGGGGGCATTTGAACTGCTGGAGACGACAAGCATGGTCAACACGCAAGTACATGAAGAAAAGGAGGTGGTGGAGAAGGAGAGGAGAAGCTCGGAAGGAGAATGGAGTGAACATCTTAGCTACTTTGCAGAATCAGTTCCAGAAGATGGGGAGAACAGTGGAGAAGACAGCACTGGAATCATGTGGAACTCATCTGATTATTCTGGCCAGGACGGGTACTCTGTGGTGGAGGAGAAGCAGCAACCACTGCAATTAGCTGCTGCAGCGGCAATCTACCCGTATAAGAGGAAGCAATCACATAGCTTCTTAGATGATTTTCTGCTTTTGCAGCCTAGCAAGAGGTTGCAGTGCACATCAGATGCACGACTCTCACCAGCGGAGTCTGTGTATGATAATGGGATTTTCTCACAGTATTTCTTTTGATTTTTGTTTAAGACATGGAGTTTGTTTCAATGGATCTTCATTTTCTCACGGTTCAATTCTTGATCAATGAGAGGAACAGAGAAAGAGAGAGAAACAGAAAACTCTATGCAGGTTTTAGAATTGAGTAATTAAACCCATAGAGTATGCTGGAGGTGATAGAAGATGTTCCTTCAGCCTGCTCGATCTAAAATTGGTGAAATTATTTTGTGCAATCTGATCGCCGTTCGGATGCTAATTAGGACTGGTCATGTCACCAATTTACTATATACCTTTACTATGTAAGATGATGTGGCACATCCTAATTGGCTTCCGAACAGTCAGGTGAACGCACCTAAAATTTCTCCTAAAATTGATGATTGTGTAATTGGTTCTTTTTATTATTCTTTATATATTCTTCAATAAAGAAACTATTCAAAACTTATTGACTTCTCAATTAAATGAGCTTGGAAAATTTTTTGGATTGAAATAATTTATATTTAGTGAAACAAAACTTTTGATCTGAATCAGACATCTCAAGAAAGGACAGAACAACTACATGGCTCTAATCGATGAGAGATTATTACGTGCGAAGATTGAACATAGGGAACGGATCAGTTTTGTCTCTGTGAATAGTAAAAGTACAGTGGTGGTGTTCACTGAGACAAACCGGATGATTCTCTGTGTCCGGTTTCCACACGTAATAATTTCTCCTAACCGATTTGATTGAACTAAAGACCAAATATGCTAATACATGTGCATCGGTCCCCCTGTAAGATCAGCCATATTATTTAATGTTTGTAAATGTTAAAAATGCTAAAGAGTCGAAAGAGGTTCAAATGACTCATGATTTTTTTCATGGAGAACCAAAATTGCACCTGTAAGTATCTTCCAAATGCTTGGGCGCAAACAAATTTGCATGGTTTCTTAGGTGATGATTTCATCACTGCCAACCCATAAGAGAAGTCCATGCATAAACTCAATAAACGTCTTTATGTTTTCCATTGTCAAAATAAACATCAAAATGATTTGATTGTGATGGAATTTCACTAAATACCCTATAACACTCATAGTTCAAAGCAATTAAACAATATAACATTTATAACTCTCATAGTTCAAATCTCTTCACAAATCTAAACTTTTACAATGAAATCCAAGAACAAAAAAAAAAAAAAAAAAAAACTAATCATCCATATCTTCATTCTTCTCAGTTGCTTCCTCCTATTGGTGATGTTCTTGATGTGGATCATTCTAGCTTCCATATGCTGCAGCACATTTTATCCTTGAGTGCTTAGTATTACCACCTTATTTTACTTTTAGTTAGTATGGTATAAGTGCACTTTTTTGTAGTAACAACAATGCATACGAGTATAGCAAAGAGAGACTATATAATGATTTGTATTACCTTTTCAATACATACAAGAATTTATACTTTCAGTTTTACATGTTTTCTCTGCTTCTGGAGCGGGAGGTTCGGCTTTTTATGTCAAAATGGTATCAGAGCGAGTTGTTTCTGGGAACCATGGCGGAGGGAAGTAGAAAAAACATGTTCCCTCAACACAGTTCAAGGTTTAGAAGCTTTGTGGGCAGCGCAAGCCAGCATCACACTGCAAGTAGATGAACTTTCGGCTGATTTTGCAGGCCTTTCGGACCTGGGAGTTAAGCCTCGTTAAAATTTGCCTAATTCATTCGAAATAAAAACGAGAAGGAATAACGAAGGGAGTTGGTCAAGAAACAGAAACGACAAAAGAACTTACAAGAAGATTTATTTATTGTTGATGAGAGGAAAAGGCCAAAATGGAAACAAAAGTAGTATTCCTAAATGGACTCCGTATGGAAAAAAGAATCGGCTCATACGAGTTTCAATTTGTAGTCAAAATGGTGGAAAAACAAGACCAGGTCTCCAGAACGAATATAAAAACTTTATGATGAGGAATTTGTAAGTAGGTAAATTGTAAGAGAATGTTGCTGATGAATTTGGCCTTGGGTTTAGTAGGGAGTTACTCTACATAGCTTGAAGAAGGACTTGGCACTTTAGCCCTTAAGAACTCGTCTAAGGCGCTCGGCCTCATAGCATTTAGTCATGAGGACTTGCCATTGGTACTCGCCAGAGGTGTTTCGAGCCAAATTAGAGGCAGTTGACCAAATATATATTTCTGTTTTAGTTTGTCTTTGTCAAATGAGGTATTATTTCTCTATTTTTGGGTTAATTTTTAAACTAAATATCTATTAAATTTTAATTATCCACATAACCAATGAGATAAAGAAATTTTAAACTAGTCAAAGTCACCCATTGCACAGGCGACTTATTTATTGAAGGTAAGTCGCATGTTAAACGGGCGACTTATAGCTTAATTTTTTTTAAAATAAAAATATTAATCAATCAATGTTATATTTTTATATTTATTTTACAGCTAAACAATACATGTGCCAAATTTAATATAGTTTGAGCTATAAAGTTGCAGGGAGTTGTCACATTCTATAAACTGTAAAGTTGTCTCATCAAATCATAGTGTATTATCAAATCATATATGTATGTTTGTGTTATCTTGTCATATAGCCAGTAGCGATAAATTTGATTAAATAGTTTTCGTTGTTCAGTTCACATCATTTAGCTGTGATTCAAAGGCTATATGAGTTGTAGATGTAGAGCTTCTTTGAATGAGTAGCACCTATATCTTGTAGTCTTAAGTTTTTTTTTTTTTTTTTTTGCATGAGTTATGCAACCTCTTATACATTACTCAACAATGTATTCATCGATTATGGATAAGATTTGAAGAATCTGCATGAAGCAAATGATTCAAAAGGGAAGCATTCGGTTGAAAGAAAGATTGACGTTATGTATTGATGAAAGCCTTGAAGCAAAGACAAAATCTAATGAAATTTTTCAGTTTGTTATACATTTCTAGAGCAAAGATAAAAATTACTTATTGTGCCATATGCATGATAAAGTTATGAAAATAAAGCTCTATATGGTAGGCGATGATTTTAGAGACGTGGGGTGGAGATATTTACATTAGAGGTTCATGGAATATGGTGGGCATTGGGTTTCGGTGGACTTTCTCAAGGGACGAAATCATAAAATCAGATGTAATAGAGAATGTTCAGTACATGTGATCATTGAAAAGTCAATGGTTGATGTAGATCATTGTATTTTGTACCATAAATTAAATGGTATCCTGGACTTGATGAATTCTTGTTAGAATCCTATAAGAAGCTGATGAGAGATGTTGTGCTATGAAATAAGGAGTTTTTGAATAGAGCAAACTGATAGTATATTCAACAAGAGTTTGAATATAACTTCAAATATTGTCCAACTCAAAAATAACTCCAAGCGCGACTACGCATGTCAATTAGAAATATGTGACATGAACTTTTTGTGCTGATGTTCTTTAAAGTCTTTAAGTTACAATGTGAACATCATAAATATAACTAAAATATCCAAAATATACATAATACATATCAATAATAACTCCTCTTATGATGATGTGGTATCGCATCACTACTAGAACTAAAATATTATGGTGTACGTAATGGTCTAATGCGTAGGTGGTGCTGCTCCTGGAGAATGGCTTCAGACTATGTGGTGGAATCTTTAGGCAAGGATGATGGTATAAAATCTGGAGTAAATGTTGATTAAATGTTTGGTAGTGTAAGAATTATAAGAGACGAGCCCTCATCTGTGTAAGAGAAAGGGCTAGCATTATATGGATCTATAACATCATGTGATGGGTTGAATGATGTCTGCTAACTGTCAGTATCTTCTATATATTGATCATCATCGATATACATCTGCTGGCGCAAGCTGAACCATCTACAAATGTGAATCGACCTCAAGAATTATGCCCTGAAATTAAAATTCAGCAAACAATGAGTTAAGAATACATAACGAAATTGCCTAAATTAAGATAATCAAATCCTACATACCTCATTTGGATGAGTTGTTTGGTGGCTACTGCAGAGTGAAGAATGATTGGGATGTATGTTATGTATAGCTAGTTGTGTGGGCTCCTCCACATGAGATTGACACCTTCAGGGGCGTCGTGCTGCTCTATCAAAAGCGGCTATCATGATACCTGAGAAGAAACAATGTTAAGTTTTAATATATTGTAATAATGTAATAAAAAAATGAAATCAATGAAACGTATGTTATTATGAATTAAATGAAATCATTAAACATGCATTAGCATTTAATATGACATACTTAATGACAAAGATAATTAAAATAAATCAAATTCACATAAATAGAGAAGATACCTAGTACGACATATACTCTTACTGTGTCCAACTGAATTGCACAAACGACATTGCCAGTTGTTCTTTTTTTTTTTTTAGATTCATCCATAATGTTTCTATAACAATTAAGATGTAGTCTACCAGATTTTCTTTCTTAAATTTGGTGGGAGCAATGGGTGAACCCCAAGTACGGGTTATCAGAACCCCACGTATCTCGTTCAGGAATGTTGTGAAACTCACCACCATAAGTTTATTTACACTTTGTTAAGGTATAGTACTCTGGCACATAATCGAGGATGATTCTTCTTAGTAATGATACACAAATAACAACATGAGCTCAAGGATAATGGTAGATGATTGCATGTTCATAATTGCATATACATTTTTTTTTCATCAATAAAGCCAACTTTGTATGATCATGGTGACATATAAACAACTTGAAATTCCTGCTTGTTGATTGTAATAGGTTGGGGCTAACTTCCTTGCCTCTTGCTTAATTTTTCTTATTAATGCATGAATTTGTGGTGCTAAAATGCTACTATTTTGTTATTCATCGGCATTATTCATCTCTAATCTCCTTAAATATATTACGACAATATTATAGTATGTGGTCTTAACCAATACCTAAATAGGCAACCCTCTAGCTCTTTTTAAAATGTTATTGAAGGACTCAAAGGCATTTGTTGTCATAACTCCACAGCAAAGGCCACCATCATGTGTTAAAGCTTAACAAGTCACATCTCGGTCTATAAGCCATTGGTGCATGTCTGTCTTTAACTTAATGATGTCTACCATACTATGATTGAAAACTCCTAAGTTATATGTATTCCCAAATGTGTATATTTCTTAGCGAACAAACTCCACATCAACAATACCCATTAATTTAACTGCTTTCTTAACATTTTTTCAAAGATGATGTAGACAATGACGATGTGCTGCTTTAGGTTTAGTGCATAATTATCAAGAAATATTTCCTGATTGAATGTTGGGTAGTGTAGGAATCGAAAGCGACGGGCCCTCATCAACGTAAGAGGAAGGTTCAACATTGTATGGATTTATAGTAGCAAATGATGGGTTGAATGATGTCTACTAACTGTCAGTATCCTTGAAATATTAATCATCATCAATATACATTTGCTGGTGTAAGCTGCACCATCTACAAATGTAAATGGACCTCGAGCATTCGAGCATTGTGACCTGAAATACAAATTTAGCGAACAAAAGGTTAAGAATACATAAAGAAATTGCCTAAATTAAAAAAAAAAAAAAGAATCAAATCCTACATACCTCATCAGGATGAGTTGTTTGGTGACTACCACAGAGAGAATCAATGTTGGGATATATAGTGCAACGGGTTGTATGGGCTCCTCCTAACGAGTTTGGCACCTTCAGGGGTGCCGTGCTGCTTCATCAAGAGCGGTTGCCATGATACCTGAGAAGAAATAAGGTTATATTTTAATAGATTCTAATGCTGGAATACAAAAATGAAATCCATGAAACATATGATATTATGAATTAAATGAAAATATTGAGCATACACTAGCATTTAATATGACATGCTTCATGGAAGAGATAACTAAAATAAATCAAGTTCACATAAAGAGAGAAGATACCTAGTATGACTTATACTCTTATTATATCCCATTGAGTTGCACAAACCACATTGACTGTTGCTCTTTTTTTTAGATTCATTCAAAGTATTTCTATAGTGATTAACTCGTAGTATACCAGATCATCTTCTAAAATTCTGTGGGAGTAATGGGTGAACCCCAAGGTAAGGGTTGTGAGAACCTCATGTATCTTGATCAGAAATGTTGTGAAACTCGACATTATAAGTTTGTTTATAGTAATTAAAGGTATAATACTCTGAAACATAATCAATGTGGCATCTTATTAGCAATGATACACAACAATATGAGCACAAGGATAATTGTAGATGTTTTTATGCCCGTTACTGCATATACAATTTTTTCATTAATCAAGTCAACTTTTGTATGATAATGACAACATATCGACAACTTGAAATTCTTGCATGTTAATTTTAATAGGTTGGGGTAACTTCCTGGCCTCTTGCTTAACTTTTTTTATTGCTTCATGAATTTTTGGTACTAATGTTACTATTTTCTTGTTCCTAAGAATCAATCATCTCTAATATCCTTAAATACATTGCAATTATATTATAATATATGGCCGTAACCAATGCTTGATTAGGTAACCCTCTGGCTCTTTTTAAAATTTCATTGAAGGACTCAAAGGCATTTGTTGTCATAACTCCATAGTGAATGCTACCATCATGTGTTAGAGCCCAACAAGTTACGTCTTGGTCTAGGAACCACTGGTGCATGTTTGCCTTTATCTTGATGAGGTCTACCATGCTATAATGAA